ACAGGAGCTTGCTCCCTTCAAAAAATACGGTATTCTGCACTTGAATTCTAGTAAAAAAGCAAACATGAACAAGGGAAGGGAATCCTAATATTTTACAGTTAAGCTGGTATTTGAGAAATGCTGATTTGATACCAAAACTGAGATGATTTTGTCTTATGTTTAAGTGATGTTTATGTGGCATTTCCCCAATGCAGCCCTGACAGTTACTCGGAAACACAAACTATGTAGTGCCTCTTTTCTGCATGTTATAAAACCTGCATGTCAATTTATTTCTGCTTCAGTAATCTTCTAAGATGTTTCATACTCCTCTCTCTGATGGCTCCTGCACTCAGAAACCAAAATGCTTAGAGGTGGTGTCTCATGAATGCATTGCTCCTCACCCTTCAGTTCCTCCTCCAGGCAGCTGAAAGGTGAGGAGCACCTCTGACCTCTGGTTCACACCTCTCCATACCATGCTGTTGTCTTTAGGATGGATATACAATACCTATAAGCTTTGCAACATGTCCTTTTACTCTCCCATTCCAGCTTACTGATAAAATCATGCTTTAGCTACTGGTATAAGGTCTGCTGAAAGGGTGTTTTATTTCCACCTTTATGTAGCTTTAAATTGAAATTTTTCTTAAAAATGGCTTAGTATTAGTCCCACATTAAGAGCATGTTTAGATCTGAATCCTTGATCCAATGAACCACATAAATGCTGTAATAAAAACGCCTGTGCAACACCCTCATATACACACCCATATACATATGCATGGCTTTCCAATACACTAATGACTACTGCAACTATACCCAAATAACACCCAGCTGCACTCAAATCTGTGCTGATCACACCACAACCACAAAACCTCAGTGAGAGACACTGTCAATGATGCCACCTTGCCATCCCCTGCACTGTCTTGCATTTCACCCATGATGGTGGGGCTGGGATGCTGGAGCCACAGGATGCCCTGTTCCCGTTGCCACCTTGCAGCCCAACACCAAACTATGCCCAGTGACTCCGGCGCCTGGGCCTGAAAGCATCTTTTCTCCCTTCTTTTTAAGCACGAGGCGCCATCCCACAAAAAAAGGCACTCTCGCCGTCAAAAGGTTTCTGTTCATGGCCTGCCCTGAATTGGCTGCATTCATCAACCTGCCCTCTGTCTCGGGCTGCTCCCTCTCTGGCTGCAGATTCGGCAGAACACCGAGCAAAAGCTAGATATCAATCTCTCCTGCTCAAAGGAAATATTTAGCAGCAAAATGAGTAGAAGACAAAAGACTTCTCTGTTACTCACCCGATCTTCTCACTTAGGGTGGCTCTATCTAACAAGCTGGCAACTTAGCGCTCCTGCCTGGAAAGGCTGTGCCAGGGGATGCCTGGGAACCCACTGGTGTGCCCAAATGGCCTCAAGCACTGGCTGGGAAATGCAGAGCTTTTTCCGTCAAGTCCACTGCTTGGTAAGCATGAGAGGCCTGCTTAGGGAAGTGAGGGGGGAATAAACCCCAGTGTTTCCTCTTAATTCTGCAAAAGGAAAACTCAAGACAAGTTAGCACAATTTTATGTACATATTAAAAGCCAAGGAACATTAATCCACAGCTTATGAGTGTTCTTATGAGTGTTCTGCTCTTATTTCCGGCTGTGTGAGCTGTTCTGAAACTTAAGGTGCAGGATGCAGATCAACTTTGTTCCTCTTTTTATTTTACCTTTAATTGTATAATTCAGTAATTCTCAAGAGAAGTCTGGAAAGGCCAAGTCTCCATGTGAGTTCATTGAGATGACTGCCCTCCGGCTCTTCAACACAGAAACTTAATAGGTTTCTACTGTAAAATATTTATCGCAGAGATAGTAGCCATTTCATAAGCAATAACACAAGAGAGCCAGATAAGCCATTTTACTAGGACTCAGAAGAGTCCTTTTGGGAAGGAAGAGGTACAGGACAGGGCACGCACCAGCATCTGCCTGACAGAGACCCTGGAACCAGTGACAGCCTGACTGGGGCTTCCAGCTGAGTTGGTCAGCTACCTGCTCCCAGCCAGTAACCCATCAGACCAGCTGTTTAAGTAGCCCAGCTGAATTTGCCATGGGCTGGGAGCTGGAGCAGTGAGGTTTCAGGTAGTCACTGCAGCTCCTGGCAACAGTACCCAGAAGCGAAGCCAGGGGCTGCACGGGACATGCTGAGCACACTGCCTGCCCATGCAGCGAGCACCCAGCCCGGCCTGGCACAAGCAGCTGCTTTGGACTCGCTCATTACAGAAATGTCAGCATGTTTTGTTAATCCAGCAGAGCGATGTAAAGAAATACATGATCTGCAGGAAACAGAAAGAGATGCAATGCATGCGTTCTTATGTCACTGCCGAATTCTTGCCCAAATCCCACTACTCCTGTGCTCATTAAGGATCTTGCAAAGTAAATGACTATTAAGTGTTACCCACACTACTGAAAATTTATCTTTGGCAACACCGTTAGTTTAGCTCTGTATGACCAATACTTCAGTTCTTTGTATTTGTTCACCTTCTATCTAAATCAAAAATGTCATGTAATTTGTTTTCAAAGTTTTACTTTTTGGTGCTATTATTACCTTGAAACTACATCGGTAATGCTCAAAATTCTTCAAAAATACTGCTGTTTGAATTTTAGTCAAGAAATATTACACAAAAATATTTTCTTGCTTTACCTCTACAGTTCCTGAAAAACTGCATCTTGTGGACTTGGTTACAAACATACTGGAGAAATCAAAACCACTTGAATAGAGAAGACCTCAAATGGCCACTATGTCTGTAACAGTCTATATACAGGTTATATACACATGACTGTTTGAGGGAGCCTGTATTCATGGATGTGTACAGTGTACATACTGCATGAAGTTAATTTGTTTGACGGTTGGTTTTTTGTTTTAAATCTTTTTTTTTTTAAACCATTGTCAGAAACAAAAACAAACTTGTGGTGGCACAGAAAACGTGTGACTACTGAATTTAAGTCTTACCCTTCTAGTGCCACTGCTCATTAACCATGAACTGATTTTGCAAATCTGTCATTCAACACAGTAATTCCTACACTTTTCCTTATTGCATTTGTACATGTAACAAATTGGTACAAATGTTTACAATAAAATGTAAAGTTCATTGATACAATGCCTTTCATGATGGCCATAACTGGTTCCTAGCCAACTCTAGCTTTTTTAGAGATGTTTTTAACTGAACTTGGAAAAATAGGAAATGTATTGTAGCTTAAAATAAATGTACATAATATACAATATATATATTTATACACATGTGTATGTCCACATACACATATATTGATATAACATTTAAAGTGATGTCTAGTTTTGATCAGTTCTCTGAGTGCTGGGACTACCTGGCAAATAAATCTAGAAATGGAATTTGTCCACAATTAAATAATAATTTCCTCAACTTAGAAAAATATACTTTGACTAAATAAGGTTTAAATTAACTGATTTATGGATATAGCCTGGAGGATAACAGTTTCCAGACTGTGGCATGATTACATCTGAAAGAACCCAAGCTACTACAAACCGGTAATGAATGCTGCCCTGCAGCCAAAGTGCACAGAAATATGAGCTGCTGCTGCAGCCATCATCAGTGGCACCCAAACGCTCTCTGGTCTGGTCACCTTTTATATATGCTTCGTTTCCACCTGATACAAGTCGCCCATCTGACCTCATGCTCTGTGATTTAAGGCCCACTTCAACCACAACCACACAGTGCCTGCCGTCTTCCCCAAGTACAGCACTTGATGACTGATGTGAGCAGCTTCCCACTTCCACACAACTCTTGCCTTGAGAACTAACATATGATCACAGTCCCTAATTAACAACTTGGAGGACCATCAGTACTTGAGCTTCACCATACAGATTTTGATCTTCTACTGCATAGGTAAATATATTATAGCAAAACATACATAGATGTGTGTGTGTATATATAAGTATGTATACATAAACACAGTGTGTGTGAGTATGTGTACATCTCTACATAAAAAATTTCATGGAGCTATGTGTAGTAACATGATATACCATGGTATCCTGCAAATGTTATCTGATCTTTCTTTTTAAATATATAGGCACCAGAAATAAGTAGAGCAAATCAACCTTTCAACATTAAAGTTAAATCAGAGGACAAGAACTTTGGTAAAGCTTGTCAATTTTTATTTCTTTTTAATTCAAATACAGTCAAAGTCTATCAGTTGCCATCACCCTCTTCACAAGAGGAAAGTGCATGTCTTTTTTTCTAAAGAAAATTTTACGTAAAGTGAGAATAACGATTCAAGAAAATTCTGAATTAAATGTTTATATTTGTCAGATGACTATTATCTTTCTGATGGAATGAAAGCTAAATAGAGTTCTTGTCCTGTGTGCATTTTATTTATTGTATGCATATATATATAAATATATATATATATGTATATCTCTGTTTATGTACCTGTGTGTGTATATACACATCCACACACTTTTAACATGAGAGAGGAACCTGTTTTTCTCCACTTTGTATGTGGAGACTTACATGTTCCTGTCTTGTACCCTGTGCAGTATAAGCTCTAGTGTTGAGGCAAAACAAAAAGATATAGTTTACCATAGTATATTAGTTTATGTAGCAAAGTCATTTTCAAGCAAGTAAAATAAAGCTCTGTATTCCAAACTTCTTTTCCTTTGCATTTCTCATAAAGAAAAGGAAGGAAAAGCAAAGAGGGGAGGGAGTAGGATTATGGCAGTAGCACTGAGCCAGTGGCACGTGTGCGTGTGTGAGCGTGCATGAGCGTGCAAGCGCAAGCATGCACGCACACACACACATGCACAGAGAGCAGGGCTTTGGTTGACAAATGCAGATTGTCCAGAGAAGGTGGATGCGTAAGGAAGACTCTACAGTGATGCAATTGTATCTTTTATGTTTGCAAGGAGTGAGAAAACAGATTCAATTGGAAAAAAAGAGAAAAAGCAAAGACCTCTTTTTAGGTCCCTCATCAGTGAGAGCATACTCAGTATGCTAGAGAATTTATCTGAAACCTTTTAAATCAAGGCCTCTTTATTACAAAAATAAAAACGAACAAACAAAAAGTATGAGAGACGACAAGATGCTGAAGTGTCACTCCAATCGTCCCTGCAGAGAACAATTGCATCCCATTTATTATTCATTCTCTTCTCTCATTTCTACGATGTCTGTCATTTCCTCTGTGTGAGGCATGTCGGTCATTGCAGAGTCTTCACCTTCTGTAGCTGTTTCATTCTCATTCCGCTTCTTTTTCTAGATTGAAACAAGCATTCAGAAACCTATCAGTAAGTTGTGCATGAACACAGTCCTATAGACTTTAGGCACTTGGAGAGGCGAGGTGGGAACATAATGTGTTTTTTTTTAGAGTATGTTACTAAAAGCTAGAATATTTGTGTCATAGCTGTGGCTTGTCACTAGTAACTTGGCTAACTTAGAAGGTTTCCATAACCTTCTGGGGCTCAGCTTTCTCCTTTCTAACATAAATGAAATAATAGAGGCATTTCTTATGCTAAGCGACAGTCAAAACAGACTTCAGCACGACTGGAGGGAAAAAAGCATCTGGAATCTTTTACATCACATACTTTTTATTAAAAGAAAAAACCAAAGAAAACAAAATAAAAAACATGAGAGAAGATAAGCTGCTCTAGGGAAGAGACGGAGGTGCCAGCCTAGTTTCTCAAATGTCAAACTTCAGGAATTTTACAAGATGTGAGCACGCTGGCTTTTCTTGGTATTGCTGACCCACTGTGACCCCCACCCCGCCAAGGCCAAGGAATATTAGAGTATTTTTGGCTAGCAGGAGCAGGAGGGCATTCAAAAGTCCTATGATTCATCCAGGATGTCCTGGATTAGTAAAGCTAAGAAGCATTCAGATCCACTACAAAACAAGTTGAAGCATCTGTTCCTTATTACCCGTTTCTCAGCAGGCGGACTAGTTTTACAGAAAACACTTGTACAGCTGACAAAAATCTCCCCCCAGGTGTAATTGATTCAGCTGAGATGGGCGTATCAGAGTTTCAAAATTTCAGAGGTGTCTACACAGCACTTGATTTGCAGCTCTCAAACACTGCCCACTTATTACCACTGTAGGTGAAAACAAGTTGTATATAGCTACCAGTTGGCTTTGCCACTGTCACACTGGCTGTTGAGACAATGCTGTCATCTACATACTGATTCTGCTAAGGGAATAAATTAGGTTGACACAGTTATTACTACTACTACCTGCACTCATCACTGCAAAAAATTAAGCACCATGTCCCTGACCAGAAATACTCTATGAGCTACTACTGAGACAAATGATGAGGAGCTCAAACAGATAAATGTAACCACAGGCCAAGAACAGCTATTTCAGTGTCTACAGGTTTTACTCTTTGGTTCTCACGAAAAGCATGACAGACTAATCATGACAGAGATCAAGGTCTTCTATTTTCTTACAAAGTTCGTACAGTTTGGTCTATTGCCATGGCCTGCACTGTTAATGCATATCAAAACTGGGTTTAGTTTGTTCCAACAGAAGGCTTTTAGATATTCCATCTTCTATATATTTTTGCTAAGAACAGAAGCAGTGAGCTTCTTAACTTGGCCCTTAGTAAGAAATCTAATTAAAAAAAAAAAAAGTAAATGCATAGATTATATTTTCTGCTTCCATCCACAGAGTCCTTCTGCACTATGAAATGCTGTATACACAATGCCATTTCTGCTTGGGTTTGGACCTGGTGCCCTACGCAATGCCTTGAACGCGTAACTGGAAAGACATAACATGCAGGTACTGTGATGTATCCAGTCACCCAGTCAACATTTATCCTGTATTTGCCTTCATTTAGTGGAATATTCCTTGAAACCCATGTACCACTACTACTTTGTACATGCAGGATCATAGTGTGTGAAATAAGCAAAAGTATGCCTAGGAGAAAATCTCACCCATTTCAGTATTTGTAAGTGCTTATCCTCTACTGCTGCAGGAGTATATTTGGTTTTAAGCCACTTCTTTAGATGGCAAAAAAAAGTAAGCAACTGTACTTTTTGTACACTGACAGCTGGTTTTATACAGAAATAAAAGTATACATATAGATGGATACAAACACACGTAGAATCATAGAATCAACTAGGTTGGAAAAGACCTTTAAGATCATCAAGTCCAACCATTACCCCAGGAATGCCAAGTCCCCCACTAAATCATATATACCTATATAGATACATACACGTATGATAAGGTTGCATGAGTAGTTCCTATGTCTACATAAAGAAGCTATGTTGTACTGTAGCAGCTGATCTACAGCACAAAATAAGTGGTGGCAAGGACATGTTATCCATAATATCTGTATGTTTTGAGGAGCAAGAGGTTTACTTCAGACCAGCATGTGCCATGGCCTCATCCCATGGCCTGAATGCCCACTAGCAGCTGGAGTAAACCTTTTGGTTTTATTTCAACCCAAAGAGTTCCTAAGTTGCACACTCTTGAGACCACACCAGGAAGCAAAACAAATTTAGTAAGTGGGGATGCTGGGGTGTTACATTTCAAAAGTGAGCTCTTAATCTGAACTAAAATCCACTATATTCATCAACCACTTTCACCCCACCCTGCAGAGCCTTATTCTTACCTGTTTCCGATAGACATAGCAGGCTGCTATTGCAACCATGGTTGATTCTCCTATGAAACCAGCTAGAAGGGATCCTACTCCAAGAGTGGCTCCATGAACTCTGTGGGTGCCATAAAAAGAAAGTAGTCATGGTTATGTGAGAATGCATGATTTGTCATTGTATTTTCCCATATAGAACCAATCTGTTGTTAGAAATAGTTCCTTCAAAGACATAATACACTGGCAAAGAGAATAAATGGTATTTTAAAGTTCTTTTCTGTTTCTTAATGGCTTCACTGTTAAGTAAAAGAACCACATTCTGAATGAAATTATGGACTAAGAATTTGAAGTCTTGTAGAGTGCTGTAGAATAGATTGTTTAACTTATAAACAAGACAGTCTTCCATTAGTTTTCTTAACAGTGCACTTAATAGCATGGAAATAAATTCCCTTTAGGACACGTTTTTGCCTCTTTGACATCTGCGTATTTTTTCAAAAGGGACATTGCTATTGTGCCTGCCTAGAGCAGTCACACTTGTGAATTTGTAGGTGTTTCTTTTCTGGATATTGACACTATTTAGGCTTTATATTATAGTTAGTATTTGGGGAAAATGTTTTGAGCTATGCAAATTCACTTATCAAGTGACAGGGAATAGGAATGAAGAGGAAAGCAAACCCATCAGCTCTGTGGAAAATAATGATTTACCCCAAGTAAGGCAGCACAATGAGACTAGCGATGAGGACGATAATCCGCAGCACTGAGCTGGGTGCCAGCACAAATGTCTTCTTCAGAGTCATCAGCCAGCCCGTCAAATGTGCTCTGACAGTCACTGTTTGTAAACAGGGGAAGGAGAAGGAATGGGGAGAAAGGAAGGCAAGAGTAGTAAAAAAAGTCAGTCATATCATCATGAAGCTATTCAGAAATAACCCGCATGAAACTTGTGTCTGGTAACTTTGCATGTTGGGAAACCCCACTAGAAATTAAGATCTTGTATCCAAATTGCTTTTCTATACTGATTTTTTGAAAAGGAAAATAAAATAATAATAAAAAAAGGCCAGTTGCAGACAGCAATCCTTCCTAAGAGCTGCTCTCTTCAACCAATGTATTAGATGGTCTATTCTGCTTTCTTCATCAAAAAACCCTACTCCCTTTCCTAAAGAGAAATCATACAAAGGAAAATTTTACATCTAGTTCCTATGTGGTACAGGGTATAACAGGCACAAAAAAAAAGTTATCTACATGTACCTATTCTTATGTTTGTAGTTTAGCTTTATTACAACAGTGTCTTGTCATATAAGCAGAAAACACTACATGATGTAGCATTTAATTATGGAAGGTAGAATTTTTTTGAGGGGAAACATTTTGATTATCACTGTCAAGCTTGTCTCTTCTTGACTAGGGGCATTAACTTTTATTTTATGTTGTTTATGCTCTGATGATACCTGAAAAAGTCACTGAGTCTGGCAGCTGAAGGCGAGACTAATGGAAGTGATGCTACTGTGGAGGTGGTCCTAGATGCTATTCCAAATAGTTAATGTCAGTCTTGGCACACATGTATTAGTACTGACATTCATGGGTGTGTTCTTGGTCAGCTAAAATAGACAGAATTCAGGCTTCGCTTTGACAGTCAGAAATCTGCCTAATGACAGACTGCTCTTACTGCAAAATTTATTTGGACTATGGATGTAAATGGTCTTGGTCTACACCAGCTTCAATAAAAATGGTGTTACTTATGCTAGGAATGCATTTAGCATCTTTGTATGTAGAGCCACGCCAGAATCTATGACCATGCCTTACAGCTGGTTTGATTTTGAGGTTACAGAGTTCTTATTTTCTTGGTTTTTACCTGGAACTGGAAAGAAGGAGAAGATGCGCAAGGGAACAACACACAGCTCTGCAAAAGCAAAGTCGACTCCAATTATGTCAACTAGAATCTTCTCTGACACATTTGGCGTCCAAAACATCACAAAACAGAGCTAGGAAGAAGAAAATTATATTTCAGAAGGGAAGCACGACAAAACATAGGACTTCCTGGTTTAAAACATTTGCTTACTGATGGGTAGATAACTACTGATGATAAATACAAATATATTTATAATTAGCTTGCATTCAAATACACAGAGTATACAAGTGTACATAAAATGGCATGTTAATTTCAGACCCAAATCCTACTCTTCATGTTCCTCGCATACCAAGACTGAGGCATATAAAAAGAATTTTTATGGCACCTGCAAATGGTTGTACTTGAATAGTCTAATTGTTACAAAACCAGTAAGAAACTAGATTTTTATAGTATTTTATAGTATTTGCCCTGGTTAAGACATCCATATTCCAAAAGAGATTATAAAATGTTTTAGTAACTAAAGATTTGAAGTACTCCCAGACCAAGAGATCTGATCTAAATCTAAGACTAGAGGTTTAAATGCACTGCTGATCCTAGTACTGTTGGTATGTAACATTAGCAAGGCAAAGGTGTTCAGCATAGTCCTGCAGACACAGTGTGCTCAGGCCACAAATCCACTAAGTCTCGTATTTTTACTAAAGAGTGTGCTGTTTAGTCCATATATGAAAGGAAAACATCCATAACAATCCTGCAACACATGGTACAGCGGTAGAATACGTTGTTTAATATTTTAGTCAGTTCTGAGACAGGGCTCCAGTGGGAGCTGAGGGGGCTGTTGGTGGCTGGCAGGTCCAGCTTCAGTTGAAGGCACTCACTGAAGAACAGTGCTGACAGCCCCTGCAAGGTTTTTACCTGTCAGAAGGGATACCTGACATCCTTCCAAGTACAACTACTTTGTTATTTAAACAAAGTAAAAACTTGGTTTTGTGGTTAAAAAAGTTATTTTTTCCTGTTATTCTCCCAGTAAAGCAGATGTTATGGAAGCGAGCTGACTGAACAGGGAGAAACTTGGGGCCTTAAATGCCCTGGCACTCCTCTTGCCAGGTTACAAACTGGTGTAACAGGTGAAGTATGTGCACTGGCTGTACAATAGTAACACTCTGCAACTACTCTCTTATAATTTAGCCTACAAGCTAGTATCATAGTATGTAGCTTTTCTCTTTTTATCCAGTTGTCACATCCCTGCATGTTCAGACAGCTTTTAAAGCTAGTCTGTGAAGTCCTACCATCTCCAAGACAGCTGGGATTGCAGTCTCATTCTTTGGTTGTGTGCCTGCCACAGACTGTCTCTTCTGTTTAGGCTACAAGCATCCAGATGCACGAGTTTCCCAAGGCTTGAGACTGAGTGGCCCATGGAAGGTCTCAAGTTCTGACCGCCTGTACAGTCAGAACAAGACATGTCACCTTCCTGCAAAAAGATTCATCTTCAGTTTTGTTCTCCACTTCCAAGGGTAGAAGACACTATTTATTTTTCACAACTGAATGTTTTACTTGACTAATTTGATGCTGTCTTGCATCTCCATCACCTATACACAGAATAGTAAGTGGAGGGAGGTAAGAGCAGAAGACAAATGAACTGAGCATGAATTCTTTTCTACTTTAGCCAGCACTTCTCTCTCCATGCCAAATTACTTGTACAGGGTACAATGGAAGCAGAGGGGGCAATCTAGACCAGAGGTTGTGTGGTTGAGAATCTGGTTATTAAAAAGTAACTGTACAGCAACAGAGCAGATTCCTTCATTGTTGCAGACACCATTAGGCAGACTGCAGTGATTTGTACTCTCACTGCAAATGACCTGTAAAGCACACATACAAGGTATATTTTGTCAAATCTTTCTTCAAAGTCCAATAAAGAAAATAAGACACAAAGATGTCCACTCTTCAATTATAATTTGCTGCTTTCATAAAAGCAGAGACCTTTACGCTGCTTGTACTGCACAGTGCCATCAGCATTCTACTAAGTGGTATAGTTACTGCTGCTGCAAGAGTCCATGCATCTACGCTAACAGTGGAGTCTGCCCACTGCTAGCAAAGGCAAACAGAGCAGTCTTTTCCTTCTGACAGAGTATTCTAACATGGTTAGACAGGTACGCAAATAAATGACCAAAAGCATTGTTCTCAATCTTGTTCTCTTTGAAGTTAAATTTTGTTTGTGGTCTTAGTAAGAACAGAGTCAATCTCCCTCCAGCTGCTACAGGAGGAAGGTCAGTTTGCAAATCAGGGGTAATGACTTATACCCAGGTGGTATGCAGTCACTCCTCCTCAGCTGCTGCAATTGCAGTCTTCCCTACTCCCCTGATCAGCAGAGTCAGTGCTGATAAATGGCTTCAAAGGGCACTTCTTATATAGCAGCTGGTGGGGAGAGACATCAGTGACTGCTAAGCTGAAGAATCAGCAGTTTGAGAAGGTGAGGTATGGCAGCAGAAGGACCTTCTATTTCTATCTCAGTATGTTTCCAACTTTTTTTGGTTGCGATGTTGATAGTTTCATTTTGCTAAGAGATTCCTCTCTGCCATCTTATGAGCAGATGATATTCTCATTGCCCACAGGGAACAAAGCCTCAGGAAAAGAGGTGAATGCTTTGCATCACGCAAGCCCTATGCAATTTAACTTCTAGAGCACTTACTACTTGGGAAATTTCTGTATTATTTCAAAGACAAATTCAAAATGTAGTGTGTGTGTGAAAAATAGGTTCTACTTCAGGAAAACAGTAACCCTAAAGATGCAGAGGAGAGGAAGATATTTTGGCTGCTGATTTTATTACAGATAAAGTATACTGAAAATAGGATGAAGTCTTAGTTTTTTTGTGATGCTGAGTGGTCTCTATAGTGTTTATGAAGGCTGTCGTGGTTCAAGCCCAGCCAGCAACTTGGAATCACGCAGCCGCTCGCTCACTCCCCCCGTCTTCCTTCCTCCCCCCGCTCCCGGAGGGATAGGGAGGAGAATTGGAGGCAAGTAACTCCCATGGGTTGAGATAACAGCTCTCCAGTAACTAAGGTATAATACAAACCACTACTGCTACCAATAATAATGATAAGAGGAATAACAAGGGGAGAGGACACAACCGCTCACCACCCGCCGACCGATACCCAGCCCGACCCAAGCAGCGATCTGGGCCTTCTGGGTAACTCCCCCCAGTTTCTATACTGGGCATGACATGCTATGGTATGGAATAACCCTTTGGCCAGTTTGGGTCAGGTGTCCTGTCTCTGCTTCCTCCTGGCTTCCCCTCCTCTCTGGCAAAGCATGGGACTGAGAAAGTGCTTGGTCAGAGTAAACATTACTTAACATCAACTAAAACTGTTGGTGTGTTATCAGCGTTGTTCCCAGACTGAAATTCAAAACCACAGCACTGCACCAGCTACTAAGAAGGAATAAAAATGACTGCTATAGCTGAACCCAGGACAAAGGTGAAGACTGATAAGAAAGGAGACCAGGGCAGATGATAACAGATGAAATGATGCAAGTAGTATGGTGAAATAGGAAGTGTGGCATGCAGAATTAGAGATGCAATCTACTGGGTCTTACTTGGAGTAAATGGTGCTAATTTCAAGATTTTTAGGAAATGTTTACCTACAGTATGTCTCCTATGTCTTAGTTAAATGCTGCTTCCCCCTCCCCCTTACATCCTTCTGCATGTCTGCAAGCTTAAAAATACAATAAATAAGCTTGGGTAGGGTTACAGTCTTATCCTCAGTTAATCTAATCAAGAGGTGAAGATGAAACAGTAAAAGCTTCTACACAGGCTAGTAATGCATAACGGCACTGCAGCTTCAGGCTGCAATGGCTTTGCACAGTAATGAAGATTGTACTTGGCAGCTCTGATGAGGTGTTTTAATACTTTGGGAGTAAGGATTTTGCTTGTGAAATTGTAGCAAGAGTTGATTTGATTTTCTGCTGTCTTAGGGTAGGAGTGCAGCATGATACTGAAGGATAGTTTTGCTAATGCCTTTTATCATTTAACTGGAATTGCAACTGAACAATGTTGAGTGCTTTAAAAATACAGGAAAAAATTAAGATCTAAACAGGAGAGTGGAATGCTACAGAGAATATGCAGGCCTGAGTAAAGACAGTGATGTTATGGTGGTGTTACCTCTGTGTAAACAGCAGTAGACTAAAGCATTTCTGGAAGTGTTTTAATTATTTGAACTGATCTGAAGGGCTGTGCTATTTGGTAATATGCCTTTAACTGATCTGCGTAGTACAATCTGAAAGACTTCAGAATCATAGAATGGTTTGGGTTGGAAGGGACCTTGAAAACCAAGGTCTTCAACTTTGGTCCAGTTCCAACCCATCTGCCATGGGTAGGGACACCTTCCACTAGAGCAGGTTGCTACAAGCCCCATCCAGCCTGGCCTTGAACACTGACAGGGATGGGGCAGCCACAGCTTCTCTGGGCAACCTGTGCCAGTGCCTCATCACTCTCACATTAGACAACTTCTTCCTAATGTCTAATCTAAATGTCCCCTCTGTCAGCTTAAAGCTATTCCCCCTTGTCCTGTCACTACTTGACTAAACATGTCAGTAATTTATGGTACCATAAGATAATCAGTACAGCTATACCAGATCAAGTCAAAGCCCCAGCTAGGTTAGTACCACCTCCCCGCTAAAGGTTGCTGGGTCTTGCCTCAGGGAAGGGTACAAGGAGCAGGGCAAGTGCAGAGTAAGAGATGCTCTTCCCTGGCTGCATTTTCTGAGCTGCTGGCAATTACAACTTTAGGAGTTCAGTAACTGTGGTGCACCTTCATCCCACGCAGCATTGTGTTGTGCATACAGCATGTATTATAAGGCTTTTTTAATGCAGTTCTGCATTAAAAAAAGTCAAAAGCCCATCTCACTTGTGGTGTAGATGCTCTCCCTAAGTAGGTGTGCTTACTTTCATGTGGAACCTTGCCATTCCCAGCTAGCAAAGTCAGCATCGAGGCTTACTAAAAAGGTTACAGACGAAGAACTTCTGCTATTGACAAGCCTGAAAGAATGCACCAAATCTTTGTTTCAATAGGGAAAGTATCAAACTCCTAGTGCTCAGTCCAACTTCTCTTTACTAGCTCTTCTAAAGAACACTTCATCCAT